GACGGTCAGTTTCAAACTTCCTTAAATCCCAAAGTGGGGCTGAGAGGAAAAGCCTACACTTTGTTGTATCTTGATCCGGACTCGGAAACACAACTCAGGCTAGTCCTCTAACACGCCTGTCTTTCAAACGACACAGCTCTTCCAGCTCCAATTTTCCAGGCTTTGCTTTCAATTTTAATAGTAGAGCGATTTAATAGAGTCTCATAAGAAAAGATGTAAGCTAGTTTGAATTACTCTACATGGCTACTAAAATTAGATTTCTAATGGTTCTCCTGCTAATCCAACACAGGTAAGCAACTGTAGAGCATTACAGCTAAACTGATGATGCTCGGGGGTTGAGGGCTCTTCCCGTTTTCATCTCAGTATCCACCTTAAGTTGCAAGCTGGTCTCAGACTCTGCAGCTCGGTTGGGGTAGAAGAAACACAGAGTAGTTGCTTCCACATGGCAACTGTAACCAAGACAAACTTTCCTGTAAGATGGAGTTCCAAGGACATTAAATCATAAGAAATTGTTTCAGCAGCTGGTTAGAGCTGAGTATACATAACACAAGACATCTGGCTGCCTGTGCATTTTCAGTTCATTTAAAAAGTATAAACACATTAAAACACTGAATGTTTGATAGACTGCAACACTGTCTGCTTGCTCCCCTCCACAGCTGTTGCAGTCACTGTAGTCACAGCCTATTTGTTATCTAAACATACCGACTACTTCCATCTCCGTAACTTCGACATAACCTGATCAATAAAGGCCCAAGGACTGTGTACATTCGACTGTTGGTACTTGGCAATGAAAACAAATGCTATTAAAAGCCAAATTTTTTGGTTGTTTCAGACTGAGTCTCACTACGTAGCCTAGGTTGGTCTGGAACTCATTATGTAGCTCGGGCTGACCATAAATTCATCATCTTCTTGCCTTAGCCTCCCAAGTGCTAGGGTTATAGGCATATGTCACCAGACCTCGTTAAAATATAATTTTAAAAATTAGATCAGAAACATAAAAACATCTAGCTTAACATGATTAGGAAGGAGCAGACACTATATGGGTTCCCTACCTTCATGGTAATATACATAACAGAAGCCTAACCACAGCAGCTTAACCAGGACAGGAATTTGTTTTGTCGTGTAAGAAGAATTACAGACGAGACACCGAGGACTCATAGCAATATTCCTAATAGCCCCTGTTCCTAGGACACTAGTCTTTGCAAGTGACACTCTTATCCATAGTTCAGGGCAGTGCACAAAACAAAGGACTTGAAATGCACATGCTCTGTGAGGTGACAAGGCCTGCTCACGTGTCACTGCAGGGTACAGAGTTACCGACACATCTGGGAACTGTAAGCTGGGCTTACACTGCCACCCTAAGCAACATCAAAGGTCTATTCAAAACAAAAAGGAGAGAGAGGACCGGCAGACGTGTGAGCAGTGCTGTGTATCACGAGACATTCTGGTGGGAAGCATCCCCCGTGTCCTTCCCTGGCAGGAAGTCTACTTGTCTCAGCTCGCCTTCTAGGCTGCACAAGTGAACACCAGAGCATGACGAGGCGTGGCGCATCTCACTTCTCCATCTCTAATCAAACTATGGATTCACGTACACTATCCCCAGGAGCCTATCTGCTCCCAAATACTTGTCTTTTCTTTCCCAGCCAGAGGCAAAGGACCCGTTTCTGACCACATCCCTCTGTGTTTCAGACAAGCCGGAGGAAGTTCTTTATCTAAAAACGAATTCCTTCACCGGCTGGAGGTACAGGCCAGCTGGGAGAGTGCACACTTAGCACGCCTGCGTCCGTCTCCAGGACCACACAGCTGGGTGTGGTAACACAGACGTGTGGTCTCGGCACGCAGAGGCAGAAGCAAGGGGAAATGTTCCAGGTCAGGGCCGCAGAGACAGCTCAGCAGTTAAGAGCACTGGCTGTTCTTCCAGAGGATTCAGGTTCAATACCTAGCACCCACCTTAGCGGCTCACAACCTCCTAGAACTCTAGTTCCAGGGAATCCAACATCCTCTTCCAGTCTCCTCAGGCAACACACACACATGGTACACAGACATACATGCAGGCAACACACTCATACATATAAAATAAAAAATTTTTTTTTAATAAAGTTCAAGGTCATCTTCAGCTACACAGTGAGTTCAAGGGCAGCCTGGGATACACGAGACCCTGTCTAATCAATAAATGTAATTCCTTTAAAATATGTTCTCTGGGACCAGAGATGAATCAGGTGAAGGGGCTTACCACTAGCCTGATGACCTGAGTTCAATCCCCAGGACCTCATGGTAAACGGAGAGAACTTACTCCCATGGTTATCCTCTGACTTCCACACATGCGCTATGGTACATACATGCCCACACACATGGATGCATGAGCATGTAAATACACACACACACAATAAATAAGTGGACACGTGTATTTTAAAAAATAATCAGGGGCTGGAGCAATGGCTCAGAGGTTAAGAGCACTGGCTGCTCTTCCGGAGGTCCTGAGTTCAATTCCTAGCAACCACATGGTGACTCACAACCATCTGTAATGAAATCTGGTGCCCTCTTCTGGTGTGTAGGCAAAAATGCAGGCAGAACACTGTATACATAAAAAATAAATCTAAAAAAAATAGTAATAATAATCAATTATACATTCTCATCCCAGCTACTCAACACAGATGAAGTTAGAGGACTGAGATTTGACACCAGCAAGGCAAACATAAAAGATTTTGTCTCGGGGTTGAGGATTTAGCTCAGTGGTAGAGCGTTTGGCTAGCAAGCGCAAGGCCCTGGGTTCGGTTCTCAGCTTGGGGAGCGGGGAGATTTTGTCTCAGCCATGGGGTGGGGGTTTGGGGGTGGGCGAGTGGGGCACACACCTTTAATCCCAGCACTTGGGAGGCAGAGGCAGGTGGATCTCTCTGAGTTTGAGGCCAGCCTGGTCTACAAAGCAAGTTCCATGACAGCCAGGGCTACACAGAGAAACACTATCTCAAAAAACAAAAAAGATTTTGTCTCAAACATCAACCAATTTTGTAAATCCTCAAAAGTAATAAAATTGCTTCTTCAGGGGTGGAAGAATGTCATAGATATTACAAAGGTTCATGGCCTTCCAAGGGGCCACAGTACATAAATAGGCAGTCAGCATGTGAAGGAAGACAATGAGGAAAGAGATGCCTAACGAAGGATTCTGGGGGGGCATCAGTGTTGATAGGGGTGGTAAACAAGTACTTTTTATACACATAGGAACAGCACTGAGCTGCACTGATTGAAACCCAGTCTATTTTCATCATGAGAAGTCCAGGGTGGGGGAAGGGGAACGGCAGTTGTTGACTTCGGTTCAGCAGCTCAGTGACATCAAAGCAAACTTCCTATGAGACAATTGGCCCATGGTGCCGGGACGGGCACGCAACTCAAAGACCTTGTCTGCAGCCCAGGATACAGGAAAAAGCTGTCGAAAGGAAAACCAGACACTTCTTCATTGAGTAAGTTCCCTGTGAAGAACTTTACTCGGGAGTCTCACTGGAGGACCTTCCCAACTACATCTCAAGGAACTCACCTAGCTTCAGGGAACACTGGAAAGAAATCTACCCTGTCTAAACAGTCACAAAACAAAACCGAGAAGCCAGGGGGAAAGAGAATGCTCTGCAGTCAGTTCACTTTCCCCACCACACAGACTGGATTCTACTCGCTTCTCTCAGACTGCTTCCAGCGACCCTGGAGATCTCTTCTTACCGAGTTAATGGAATTCTGGACCAGCCAAGTGTTAACAGTACTGAAGGACTTATTCATCCTCCTTTAACATGAAATTCGTGTTTGATGGTGGTGGTTTGAATGAGAAAGCACCCCTCCCTAACCTCAAATATATCAGAATGCTTTGTCCCCAGTTGCTGGAACTGTTTGGGAAGGGTCGGGAGGTATAGCCTTGTTGGAAGAGATGTGTTGCTGGGAGGGAGCTTCGAGCTTTGAAAAGCCCACACCATTCCCAGTTAGTTCTCTCTCTACCTTGTAGTTGTTGTCTTAACATGTGAGCTCCCAGCTCCTGCTCCAGCACCATGCCTGGCTGCTCCCACACTCCCTGCCTGGATGGTTATGAGCACTACTAACCTCTGGAACCATGGCCCCAAAATGAAATGCTTTTCTTCTAATACATTGCCTTGCTGATGGTGTTTTATCACAGCAACAGAAAAGTAAGCAAGACAGGTGGACACAGTCTACATATTGCCAGGGAACAGAGATAAAAGAATTACATGGGTGTATAATCCTTTTTTTTGTTTTGTTTTGTTTTGTTTTTTTTTTTTTTTTTCGAGACAGGGTTTCTCTGTGTAGCTTTGCGCCTTTCCTGGGACTCACTTGGTAGTCCAGGCTGGCCTTGAACTCACAGAGATCCACCTGGCTCTACCTCCCGAGTGCTGGGATTAAAGGCGTGCGCCACCACCGCCCGGCTGGGTGTATAATCCTTAAACAAAATACAAGAAGGCACAAGCTCTTCAACGCGAGGCTTGGGAAAAGTTAGCAGATCCTGGATTAGGATCCTCAGCACCCACATCAAATCCCAGTGTGGTGGCACAAGCCTTCAACCCCAGTGCTAGCACAGATCCCGGGGGCTTGCTGGCCAGCCAGTATAGCCATGACAAAGACGTTCAGGTTCCTTAAAAGACTCTGTTTCAGAAAACAAGGGGAGCCGGGCAGAGTGGCGCCCACCTCTAATCCCAGCACGCGGGAGGCAGAGGCAAGCAGATCTCTGTGAGTTTGAAGCCAGCCTGGTCCACACAGAAAGTTTTAGGCTAACCAGAGTTACAAGGTGAGACCCTGTCTCAAGAAAGAAAAAAGAAAAGAAGATGAGGGGAGAGTGATTGAGGAAGACACCCAACATTGACTAGTGGCCTCTGCACATCGCACGCACATCACACACACACACACACACACACACACACACACACACACACACACACACCCTCTTCAGCACAATCAATTGTCATTTTCAGTCCACCATGAAGATGACGCCTGGCTTAGGCAGAACTTACAAGAGTGGAGTGTCAGTGATTAACTGCACCAAGCTGCAGAGCAATTCTTCCAGAAGATCTTCAGAGTTAGAACCTAGGAAGACACACAAAACTTCATTTGACGAGGTAGACCACAGATGCAATTACTTAGATGGAAAGTTTGCATTTCTAATAAGTAAGAAAAATATTATTACATATATCCAAACACTATCTTGACCTCTAAATAAATTCCAGATCATGAGCAAGTCAGCACCTAATACAACCTTAACAACACCACATATAAGGGGTTTTTCCCTTCGTATTATTGTGTGTGTGCATGCCACAGCACTTGTGTGGATGTAAGAGGACCACTCTGGCATTGGTTTTGCCTTTCTGCCTTTAGGTGAGTTTCGGGCTCATCAGGCGTGCATGGTGATGCCAAGCAGTTTTTCCTGCTCAACTGTCCCACTGGCCCTATTTTGGTTTTCTTTAAGGTTGGGGTCTTATTATGTAGGCCTCAACTGGTCAGGCCTTTGCCTCAGCCTCCCCCAAAATTCTGAGATTACAAGGATGTACTGCCACCCCTAGCTGCTTGAATATTCTTAAGGCCCCTACAGGCCAGTAATTTTCAAATTTTTTACACTTTGCAGTTTCCTTTGATGAATTTTTATATTTAAGTCAAATATGCAAAATAACTTTTTTACAAAGATGCTTTAGCTGACTGACTTGAAGCAAAGATATTTAGACCTGTACCCTCCCCTCACCATATTCATATGACCTTGCCTTTGACCCTGATGGACCTCGAGGCACCTTTTCTGAACCTCTGGTGATCCACACTGACAGAATGAATCCCGACAAGAAGCTAACCACCTCCTGACAAATAAGAGCCAAAGAGGAGATGAGATGGCTTTCCCGATCAGAGGATCAGTTACGTGTCAGGGACAGGGTGCAAACTGCCATCCCAACACAAGCATTTCTGTCCCAAACCCCCAGAGCTGAGGGACCTTAGCTTAAGCCAGATGACACCCTGTGACTTGTGGTTGTGGACACTAGTGACATCGACCCCTTCACGAAGTGATTCCTCGATTCCTGTAGTCTCGGTGCAGCTTCCTCTCTTCTTCCTCCCAGCCCTCCTCCAGAACACCTTCCAAAGGTCCCCACGGGCTGTTTTCTCACCCTTTACTCATTCTCTCAGCCATCACCATTACATGCTATGAATCCTGAGTCCATAGTTTGCCTTCCAGCCTCTCACCGACCATCCTGTTTTCTATCAAACTGTCCCTCATCCAAGCACTAACCAGACTGGACTCTGATCAGTTCCCAAATCAGACAAGACCTAGAGCAATCAGAGAGACATGGCCACAGACTCGGACCAACCGTCTGGTGGTCTAGTGTGTCCACTGAGATGAGTGACCAGCACCTCAGACTCAACATGTTCAAAAATGAGCTCAGCTCAATATTTCTAGCATTTCCCTTGTTTCTCTTTTTTATTTCACATGCATGGGTGTTTTGTCTGCATGTATATGGGCACCGTGTGTGTGTGTATATGTGTGTGTGTGTGTGTGTGTGTGTGTGTGTGTGTGTGTGTGTGTGTGTGTGTGTGTTACATATACAGAACCCAGGAGAGGGAGCTGGATCCCCCGAAACTGGAGTATGGTTGTAAACTGCCCTGTGGGTGCTGGGAACCAAACCCAGGTCCTCTGGAAGAGCGGCCAGTGCTCTTGACCACTGAATCGTCGTCTCTCTCACCCCATTTGGTTCTTCGTTATTTGCAACTTTGACTGCATCAGCAGCCCAGTGCTAAAACATACTTACTCACCCTTCCATAAGCAATTATCTGAGTCCTCCTGACCACACAGACCTCCTCTCAATACAGTCCTTTTGGGTTTGTTGAGTCAGGATCTCACTATGTAACATGGATAACCTTGAACTGGAGTTCCACCCACCTCAGCCTGGCATTGCAGGTGCACATCACCATACCCAGCTACCTGCCTCTGCCTCGAGACCCAGAAGCTTTTTCTGCCATGTTTTTGTTCATTATTTCATCAACTCAGTTCAGTTATGCAACTTTACCACATTCAAACTTCCTCCTAGACATCCTTTAAGCCCTCTGGTGTAGCATTTATCCTCCAATTTCTGCCCCAACTCCAGGCTGCTCTTAGAGGTAGCCAACTGAACTCCTTCCTTGCACTTTTTTGGCGTAGGTCATTTTTATTACTTTAAGCTAATGATTATCTATCAAAAAATGGAGATCCTCACTGATCACTAGAAGCAAAGCGATAATGAAAACAAAACACATATGGACCATTCATTAAAAGGAATGGCTGGAGGCTGGAGAGACGCTCAGCAGTTATAAGCTATGGATGCTCTTGCAGAGGACTCGGGTTCAGTTTCCAGCATTGCAAGGATATTCACCGCTGTTTAATTCCAGTTCCAGGGGATCCATCACCCTCTCTGACCTCTGCAGACACCAAGTATGCACATGGCACACACACATATATATATATATACAGCAGACAGAACACTCAGGTACATGGAATAAAAATAAATCTTTAAAAAGGAAAATAAAAGGGATGGTAAGAGAGAATTAATTGTTGTGGATTTCTCAGTATTCAGAAGGTCAGTGCCCGTTTCTCAGTGCTGCCCGAAGGACAACACGCTGAAGACAAATGCTAAAACCTTAGTCATGAACAGAGCCATACTTCGAAAACAGTTCACAATGCCTGAAAGCTAGAACAAGCTCATTTCTTCAATACAGAATACACACAGCAGGGCATGGTGGTGCACAGCTAGAAGCCTGGCACACGAAAGGCTGAGTTCAAGGCCAGCCTGGACTACACAGTAAGTTCCAATGGAGCACATAACACAACCCCAACTCAACCCAAAAACAACACACCCCGAGATTTGCTACACATCTCCACTCGGAAAGTCTTGGTAGTCTATGCTGTTACCCAAACCTCTTTCTAATTAGCATCCTAAGTGCTACTGTGAGTTAATCCCAAAAGGAAAGACAAATGAACGCGCCATTCCCTCCTAAAAATAAAGCGGATCTACATGTTGGTGCACTGCAATATTTATGCACTGTGTTCTATGCCATTCCAGCTACACCAGGGCTCTGGCTGTCTGCAATACTGTGTTCAAACAGAAAGAACACCTATGTACCAGGTGTGCTTACAGTAAGGTGGGAATGATCGTGTTCCAGTGACTACAAAAGGACTCCCAAGACACCACCTGCTACACAGACCAAACAGCTCAGGAGCCCACAGGTTCTCCTTGATTTTTCTGCAAAGACCAATTTAAGTTGGTATGTTTTCAGGGTTCCTGAGAAGGTGCCTTGTGTGGTGAACAGGCTGCCTGGTATGTGAACTGTCTGAGTCACATGTTTCCACTGTTGGATTTGTTTACTTATTTACTTTTGCATTGCTGAAACATAAATAATGAAATTACACCATTGAATTTTACACGAAAACTCTTAGAACAGCCTTTGCTGTACAATCCCAGACCTACCTGCGGCAGTCTCACTCAGAGACTAGTTCAAGCAGAGAAGAGTGAGCCGTGAAACCCTGCTGCCAGGGCAGCCGGAGCAGCGCAGCTCGGGGCAAAACCAAAGCCAGTTGCAGAGGAGAAAGGTGTCCCTCCAGGGAGGTTAGCAGGTTAGCACCGTGGGCTTCACGGGGACTGCCTCAGAGTTCAAAACACTTGGCGGCAGAGAAGGGGAAGGGGGGTGGTTGTGTTGGAGGAAATGGTCAGGGATCTGAAGTCTGTTTCTCAATATTTCCTGTCTCACATCGGATGTCCCTTGGTTTACACTGCTCTCTTACATCTTCTCCACCACTTGGGCTCCATTCACCTGCCAGAGAGGCAAAGGCAGCCCAGGGCCGGTGGGCCTTCTCCCTCCGGAGGGCTCCCAGCCACTTCATGGAGGACAGCGAATACAATTCTTTTCTGTTTTGGTTCTGTCATCTGTTTTGGATGACAACATCCACCATCTCCTGCTGTCAGTTAAATCCCAACGCCAGCATTCCATCAGCCAAGACAGGGCACCTCACTCCCGTGCTCACAGCCTTTGCCCCTAGCGGGAGGCCTTGCCAGGTGTGGCGCACAGAATATAAACTCACAATATTAAACTGGGAGGGGGTGGCCTCAGGACTGAGGCTGGAGAAGAACCTCTGCCTCTGACCATTTTCCAAACAGCCCTGGGGAACGCCTCTGAGACGCCTGTCACTTCCAGGCCCCAAGCCTTCCGAAAGTTCTGGAACAAGAGGCTTTCTTCTGGTGCTCTCCCAACACAAAGCATTCAGTCCTGAACTCTCACTGACCTGCTAAGTTTTTTACCACTTGACTTTCTAACTTCGGAAATGTCACCGCGATGCTCTCTCCTAGTAAGTGATGTACCTCTGTTTCCCCAACACTTGGGCTGTGGCTCTACACAACCAAGCTATACCCCTAGCACATCCACGGTTAGTTCCTCAGTGCTGACTAGAGTTTAGAGAGAAAGCAAAGATGAGCACACGTGTAACCTGCGGTGCCTGAGAGCAACCCTCATAAAACAGTAAGAAAAAGAAAAGAAGCATTTTCAAACACATTCACGTTGATCTATTTCATGCTTTTCTAGGATCTGGTCTAGCCTAGGCTGAAACCACCTCTTCCTCTACCTCAGCACCCACACAGCGTCCACCGCTGGCCCTGGGTGGCTCTAGTTCCATCCCTGCACTCTCTCTCCATGATCCTCCTCCCCTAGACTCTCCTCTCAGCCTGTCCCCTCGGCCTCCCTCCTCTCGGCCTCCCTCCTTATAATGAATGTCCTATCTCCAGCCTCCAAAGGCTTTCCTCTCCTCTAAAAACTAAGAAAGGGTAAACAATCAAACAGACAAACAAGCCCACACACCTGTAAGGAAACGACCTGCAGCCCACAGGGCCGGTACAGCTACGACAAGGAGTCCTCTGCACACAACCGTGGCCTAAAATAACCGTCTTCGTGTACTTCTGGAAGTACAGGAATCTCTAGGACCCCAACACAATCAAATAGAGCAACCACAAGCAAAAAAATGACTTGAATCCAGAGCAAAACCCTGGGTAGCAGGCAAACCCCAAGGCAGTCCCACACTGAAGGGC